CTTTAAATGGGCTACTCCATAGAAGTATTCGCTGTGACTCAAGACTTTTCATTCGGGTTTATACAACACTTACATGTTACTATCAGGAAGGTTTAATGTCATGTTTGTATTTGCACAATTTGAAAGGGGGGTTTATTTTCAAAATGTACTAGTATATGGGTGGTTGTATGCATATTGAACTATACAACATTTGAATTATGTCATCAATCTGTACGTTTTGATGACTCGTATGCAATTGTAAGATTATACTCGAAGTGAATCTCAGCACTGTGCTTTTTATAAGTGTTATGGTTCGGTTAATAATTTCCTGGAAACTGTACAGAAAATCACAGACTTTCATTATTTTTTGTTCATAATTTTTCTAAATCTCAGTTTTTATTGTTCATAATTATTTACAGCAATAACACTTTTTTTTGTTATGAAACCATTTCCAGTTATTATGATTGTGTACATGACAGCTTTGCCCCACACAATAAGACATGTGTGGATATGTGCGAGTATGTTTCATGGGTTAATAGGCCACTTCTTTATATCCCACAATGTCTAGTAATTCTAAACAACTATTTTGCAAAATTTGCATAGCCTTGCTTCTACTCCCATATTGTCCTTAATAGTGAAGGTTAATCCAGATATATTGTAAATTATACAGAGGTAACACTACAATACATTTCCTATACATTTCCTGGTATTACACAACAGCCTTTGTGCTGAGGCAGTTATGGTTCACAACCATCACCAGTTCTCTTGTACATCTTGAAGTCGGTAACTATCAGTACTACTCTCCGCGGGTGAACGCCCCATGATGCATTGCGAGGAGAGCTAAACATGGCTGCCTCCATGCTATGCTAACGTGTTGTGCAATTGATTGAACTTGTCTTGTAAATCATTGAACTGATGTCCAATTCTTTGTTAATCGGGGATCACAAGCAACCTATTCTCGCAGCAACTGACTGCTGTTTCCAATGTCAGTGAGTATGATTAATAAAAGCTTTTGCGTGTATCCGTGAACGTGAAGCTACGCTAATTCATAGCAACCGAATCAAGTCGAATCGACATATAGATACATGTTAGTAACATTGGCCTATCAACTCTGAATTCAGACGAGTCATAAACACTATTAGTCTCCGCCGTGAACTACAATATCCAGTCGTGTATCGTAACTGATCTATGACGCGTGTGTGTTTCTTTCGTACTACTACTAAGTCGTTTAGAACACCAAAGTGAAGCGTCGGTGAGCCTTCTATAACCAGAACACTGATCGAACTCTCCCTGTAATATCCGACCATGCTGTTGTAATGGGTTTTTGTTTTGGATCTCTTGTATAATATTCAAGCTGATCAATACTGTGACCCTAGTCATTGAGTGATTATTGTATTGTTATCACTTTATACGTTTAGCTAATATTTTTGTAGTGTGTTACCATGGCTGTAGGCCTGGGCGATTAATATGGTTTAGCATTTATTGTAATTATATCACACTGCTAAGTGCTGACCATTTGAACCGGTTTGTGTAAATTACATAGGGTTTTGCTGCTCCTCATATTTTGACGTATTGTCATTTGTTGGTACTCGCAAAGTACGGGTCAACACGATTTGTATTGATTTTATTCATGCTCCCTTTGTCGAGCGTGTGAGCAAACCCTTATGTAGTTTGAAATCTCGCATGGTTTAACATTGCTATTCATTAGCGTTGACTATACCCAATTGTTAGTGCGTCCTCTATTATAATTGAGAAATTATTTTTATTCTCTACCAGCGTATACTTGGGCAGTGCATTTGTTATTGTGTAAAAGATAATACATGTGTCTCAGTTATATGTTGTGAGGCTTGTATGTGGGTGAGACCAACTGGACATCTGGCGGACGTACCCCTAGTAAATTGTACCTGTGCTAGTCTATTTTGAGTGGGATTTATATTGTAGTTTCATTCTGACCTCTCTGTAAACTGGTAACACATTCCCCAACATGAATACGGGTGATATTAATCAAACTTAGTATCACGATCATGGATATTCTGGTTATAAGTGTATGTCATCTTTTGTTTTGTGATTTGAACAAAAATAGCCAACTGGCATCTATTTAGTTTTTGTTCAAGCCCATGTCAAATCCTTAATAACATATCACCTGATTCAGTTGATGGAAGTTTTCACACAAGTACTATACTCATAAGTAACAATGTAAGTTGTCTTATTTTGTGATTTGATCACAGTTTTCTAAAATTTTAAAATCGCAGTCTATAAATGTGTATGGAATGCACATGCATTTATTTTGTCATTTCTGCATTTTTGTTGTAAAAATATACAAAAATAGAATTATTAATTGTTACATGACTGGAACCAGATCTTGGGCACTTTTTGGCTGACTTACTTCAAACTTGACGCATGGAACTGTGAGCAGCCACTGGTGGTGCTGTGTACAATCAAAACCTATTCAGGCATGTCAATGCTTACGCCGCCTTCAGTGTAACACTTGTTAATATGGTGACAAGTTTAGTTTGACAGAAAGCGTGGACATTTTTCAAATAACCACAATAGACAGAGTGGTCAGGACCCATTATACATTATTCCAACATTCATAATAAATGCTTTCTATTAATAATTTTCAATTAATATGAGATACGTTTACCTCATAACCTTGTTAAAATTACAAGCATATTGTATACGCAATGCGCATGCTTCGAACCCTTTTTCCGTATTCCACAATGCATGCATCATCACAGTAACGTCAATTGAAATTTACGTTTTATGCACGTAACGGTAACGTTCAGTACCATAAATGAGGTTTGTTAATCTTTGCAGGTGATGAATATTGGATTCCTACTGGTTTTCAATGACATACTGCTTAGACAATAATTGCTTAGACAATTTTTATTGCACTGATAACTTAGGAACAAGTTGAATTCCAATAAAATTACTGACTTGATCACTGTTCAAAATGTCATATACTTGATTTGTATGATTCTGTTTACTTAATTTTGTGTAAGCATTTTGATTGACCATTAACTAATTAACGATTAAACCAATCAAATTGCCACATTCTTTTAATGAATACCAAGCCTATAGATCAAACATGCTGGAGCATAGAGTAGTGTGCCAAGCAACAACACTTCTGGGCTAGTGATGCACAGACAGTATATGGAGTATGATTGTTTTTCTGTCTTCAGTCACAGGTCAAACATATAAACAAGTTTATGGTGTCATTCACCCTGCTTTCAAAAAGTGTATTTATATTTTCTTACAGATGCAGTATTCTTAAGCAACAAAAGAACACATCCTGAAGTTTGATCATAGAAAAATTAGAGATAAAAACATTGAAAAAAGTGAGTTATTCTTTAAAGCAGTGAAAATGGTGAACATCGGAAATAGATGGACTTAGAACATACTGAGAAGTGCTTTGGTCCATTTTAAGAGGATTTCATGAATATGGAAATACATCATTGTGACCAATGTGAGAAAAGCTGTACCCAGTCAAGTACTCTCAAACAGCATATGCAAACACATACCAATGAGAAACCTTATCATTGTCAGGATTGTGAGAAGAGTTTCACCCAGTCAAGTACTCTCAAACAGCATATGCAAACACATACCAATGAGAAGCCTTATCATTGTCAGGAATGTGAGAAAAGTTTCACTCGGTCAAGTACTCTCAGACTGCATAAGCAAACACATACCAATGAAAAACCTTATAAATGTGAGCAATGTAAAATGAGTTTCATCATTTCAAATAGTCTTAAACAGCATATACGAACACATACCAATGAGAAGCCTTATCATTGTCAGGAATGTAAGAAGAGTTTCACCCAGTCAAGTACTCTCAAACAGCATATGCAAACACATACCAATGAGAAGCCTTATCATTGTCAGCAATGTAAGAAGAGTTTCACCCAGTCAAGTACTCTCAAACAGCATATGCGAACACATACCAATGAGAAGCCTTATCATTGTCAGGAATGTAAGAAGAGTTTCACCCAGTCAAGTACTCTCAAACAGCATATGCAAACACATACCAATGAGAAGCCTTATCATTGTCAGGAATGTGAGAAAGGTTTCACTCGGTCAAGTACTCTCAAACAGCATATGCAAACACATACCAATGAGAAGCCTTATCACTGTCAGCAATGTGAGAAGAGTTTCACTCGGTCAAGTACTCTCAAACAGCATATGAAAACACATACCAATGAAAAGCCTTATCATTGTCAGGATTGTGAGAAGAGTTTTTCCCATTCAAGTACTCTCAAACAGCATATGCGAACACATACCAATGAGAAGCCTTATCATTGTCAGGAATGTGAGAAAAGTTTCACCCAGTCAAGTACTCTCAAACAGCATATGCAAACACATACCAATAAGAAGCTTTATCATTGTCAGCAATGTAAGAAGAGTTTCATCCAGTCAAGTACTCTCAAACAGCATATGCAAACACATACCAATGAGAAGCCTTATCATTGTCAGCAATGTAAGAAGAGTTTCATCCAGTCAAGTCATCTCAAACAGCATATACGAACACATACCAATAAAAAGCCTTTCCAAGAGAACTGCTTTTCATACAGCAACATAAAAAAGATACATCTTGTTGAACATCACACTAAACTTGGAAATTTTACTTGCATACCAGTAGATTCAAATAATCCAAATGTTGCTGTAATACCAAATTCAGTAAGTCAGTTTTACTGTCATCAGTGTGAATGTATATATAGTCAATTAACCAGTCAAAGACATTTATTAATTATTCATAGAGGGGAGGAATATATATATAGATGGGAAACAATGAATGATAAAAAACAGTTAACTGTCACACGTAACGGATATGATGAGGAGCAAACACAATTGTTTATTGTGCATGCTGTTTTCATTGTTGAGAAGAGGAATCATGATGCTGTGGAAGAATTCAGATTATACAGCCATGATTGATAAATTCTGAAGTGTGATCTCATCGAATAAACTTATTACAGTGCATAACAGGAAATTACTTTTCTTTCCAAAAAAGCATCGTAATTATTTTGGCAGACTTTTGTAGTCCTGTGAAGTGTTCCTGTTTTTTTTTTAGAAAACGTCAAAATGATTACATTTAATGTTGCATAAAATTTAGTTAAGAGGAGAAGAATATTTTGTGATTGTGGGTGTTGTTACACTAGAACTAAAACACTGTTGTATATAAAATTCTCGTGCATATCTCCTTCTGGTAAAAAAAACATTTGTCTATGTATTCAAGAAATACCCCAACATTTTGACCATTCGCAGAGGTTTTAGTAAAAAAAATAAACAAGATGGAGCACACATCGGTGAGGGAGCCGAGCGACCAAGCAGGGGGATAGGTGTGAAAGGGCGGATCAACCTGGACATGCCATATCGGAAGGTTTCTGTGCCATTTTAACGTTATATCTATCACCATTGGAATATTTTTCGAGTAATTTGATGTTCAGGCACATTGTAAGCTGGTGTTGCTGGAAAATTTCTCTGGGAAAAGTATATTTGAGAAAGATTTCATGTTGTACGGCAGCACAGAAGTGCGCAGCTCCAGAAATATAATTTTTAGTTTCGCTGTCGACTTTGTCGAGCGGAGCTTATCATATGAGTGATTGTCCGTCGTCGTCCATCGTCGTCCGGTGTCCGTTGTCCGTGTCAATGTTTTACTCGACTTCTTCTTGAAAACTACAAGCCTGAATGCTTTGATACTTGTTGTATATCATTTGGGTAGACCTCTCTCAGATTTGTTCATTTCATGATCATATTTTCAATTCTCTAATTTTGGTGAATATTTTTGTCATTTTTGGTAAAAAGTGATATTTTCGACTTCTTGTTAAAAACCACAAGTCCAATTGCTTTGATATTACATATATAGGTACTACATGTGAATCTCTCTCAGATTTGTTCATTTTGTAATGATATATTTAATTCTCTAATTTTGGTGAATATTTTTGTCATTTTTGGTAAAAAGTGATATTTTCAACTTCTTGTTAAAAACCGCAGGGCCAATTGCTTTGATATTACATATATAGGTACTACATGTGTATCTCTCTCAGATTTGTTCATTTTGTAATGATATCTTCAATTCTCTAACTTTGGTGAATATTTTTGTCATTTTTGGTAAAAAGTGATATTTTCGACTTCTTGTTAAAAACCGCAAGTCCAATTGCTTTGATATTACATATATAGGT